CGTAGCATTTTATTTAGACAGGACAAAGCCCTTCCACAAATCATCACAACTTTTCGTGACCGTTGCAGAATGCTCAAGAGGACAGCCGGTCTCCACACAAAGGATATCCTCATGGATGACTGCATGCATCAGAGTGCTATGCTCTATCGGGGTCCCAACCTTCCCCCCCACCCCCTCCCAGAGTGCACTCTGTGAGGGCAATGGCTTCCTTCGCAGCACAGGTCCCGATCCTGGACATCTGCAGGGCTGCCACTTGGTCCTCTGTCCACACCTTCACCAACTACTATGCACTACCTTCACCAACCACTATGCACTATCACATCAGGCCTGAGAGGACGCCACCCTGGGCAGGGCAGTCCTCCATTCCGTGGAAGGTTAAAACTCCGACCCCATCTCCTCAGGTTCCACTTTGGAGTCACTTACATGGAATGGACATGAGCAATCACTCTAAAAAGAAAGAATGGTTACTTATCTTGTAACTGCTGTTCTTCCAGATGTGTTGTTCATGTCCATTCCAAATCCCACCTGCCTCCCTTTCTTCAGAGTATTCCTGTAAGAAGGAATTGAGAGGGCAGGGGGCCAGCAGGGGTATATATCAGCCGATATATCAACACCACTCCAGGGGGCTCCCTGTTGGGCCAACAGGTACTGCTGAGGGGAAAATTGACAATGCGTGCACGCTGTGTGCGCACACCTACATGAAATGGAAATGAGCAACACATCTCATAGAACAGTTACGAGGTAAGTAACCGTTCTTTCTTTGGCATGGAGTGCCCCAGCACTGTCTACCTCAGCACTGAAAAAGGACTCCTCTTGGCATCACTATGGGTCTGAGAGAGGCCCTTCTGAAAGGCACTGTTCACACTCACCTGTGCCTCAGAAGTGAAAGAATCCCGATGGCAGGACTTCATCAAAGTCCAAAGAAATGTGACCCTGGGAGGCCCGACCAAGTCCCTGCAGGGGAAAGGAGAAGAGAAGTTGAGGCCACAGTTTCAGGGATCTCTGGGCCGGGTGGATTAGCCCCTTCCACTTCCCTCAGTGCCAGAGGCTTTTGAGGCGGCAATCAACTTAATGCACTTCACTGTATGTCATCCCCACTTAGGGGAGAGAAGTCCCACCATCCACAGCAACGACGTGTCCTCAGGTGCAGTCCACTGGAAAGCCAGCAATGATGTCCTGACAGTCTTAGTCTTGTTTGCCAAGCCCACAGACATCATTGATCTCTGCCAGACAGCCTAGCCGATTGCTCAGTTCCCATCAGTCAGCTCGGTGCTTCCTTGATCCACAATATTGGCGACTTCTGGTTCATAATCAGAGTCATTTCCGTTCTAGGAAGAGGTCTCAATCTAGAAGAGACCACCACCTACAGTAACAGGTGCTGTGACCTCAGTAGCAGAATGTCACAGGGCCTTTTTGGACCCACTACGCATTTTGTCAAATCCAAAGGGAGTTCCCAAGGCATTGGTCAACACCATCTTTAGTGGCGTTGGCCATATTTGTGTCTCCTTGTATGGCACCACATCTGCCAGATATGGTGCCTAGTCCAATGCCATCCAGTCCAGCATCATTCCAGGCACTGACCTGATCTCAGCTCAGGCACCAACAGGAGGTCATCTTCTACCAATGATTTCAGCACCATTATCACTGCCTGGCACGATAGACACAGCACCAATGCCAATGGAATCTGCATAAACAGTGTCTCGGTATCTTCATGACCCACTGCAGGCACCATCGACCTCCCTGGCACTGGGACCAGTTTCCATGATTGCAGCAACTGCACTGTCGACTCTTCCATCAGCGACTGACCCTAGGGATCAATGGCATCAGATGGAGAGGGACATAGCCCAGTTCTAGCCTCGCCCTTCTCGTTACCAGAAAAGGCGTAACCTGAGATGTCAATGACACCTACAACAACTAATCTGTGGGGTGGCCCAGGATCTGGGCATTAAGGCAGAGAAAGTGGCAGAGGAGTCAGACCCATTGGTGGACTTTTTTGCTCTTGCTGGTTCCTCCAGGGTAGCCTCTAACCATTGATTAAGACAATAACTGAAAACAGTTACAGGAGACCGTAGCCTTAATTACACTGACTGTGAAACACAATACAAGGTGATGCTACTTCATGCTCTCCAAAGTGATACAAGCAACTCTATACTTACCCTGCCAGACTTGCTTATTTTGGACATCATGAACCATAGAGAACAAGGGTTTCAAGGGCCTTCATCTAAGAATAGGAAGGCTAAGCAACTGGTTATCTTTGGTAGAAAAGTGTACTCTACAGAGGTATCAGGGCTGTTTCACACTCTGGCACTCTGAGTGCAGAAGGTGAGGGCCCACAAAGCTCAAAAAGGAAAAAAACACCTTTGCCTCTACAGATACTGGTTACAAAAACTTCCCCTCAGAATCACAATACGCAGATTTTGGGGAATTGCTGCCACAATCAAGTGATTTTTATCCCTAAAAAATCAGTGGTGAACACTTGAACCCACCCCCAAGGATACCTCAAGCTCTTTTGCCCTAAAAGAGCTTGAAAAAAGAAAAGAGGAAAACAAATTATAGTCTTTTGTAGCTGACCTCTCAGTCTGAAGCATGCAGATACACAAACTGACCAGGACACACGAATCAAATCATCACCTTAAAAATGATTTTTTTATTACAAAACAAAAGATAAATTTGATAAAGCATACTTGGTTGCTAGATGTTACAGAGCAACTAAGGAAAACAAATTAAAACAGAGAGAAAAGTTTCTGGGCACAGTGCTCGATGGTAAACGGAGAGGGGAGGCATAGATTCACACAGAGCAGTTCAAACCAAATCACAAAATAAAGAAAAATTACCCTGAATGTGACTAGATTCACTTTTCCCCTTACTTACTTCCAATTTTCTTTTTTTGTTCAGTCCACTCCCATGCCCCAGATTCCTTGGAGACGTGGTAGTCCTGCCTGGGTTTAAATCATTCTTTGTGTCTCAACTCCTCTTTTTCTCTCTCCCACACAAAGAAAGCAGGCAAGAAATCTATATCCAATTCAAATTTCATCCCTCTATCTCAATTGGTTCGCCCGGCCCCTGGCTAACACCTTTGCTAGCTACCTGAGTTTAACCCCTTAGTCACTGGGTGCTGGTCAGCATGCCTCCTGTCCATTACAAAGGGAGTTAAAACTGCATAGTCATCCAGCTGGCTCTGGTCAGCAGATACTCTTACAATATCTTTACCTTGCTCTCTAAATTTATAGACCTGCTTCCCTCTGACCACAGGTAGAATTCTCTTCCTTTATTAAGGAGAAGACCATCTCCCGAGCTTCCTTGCAGGCCGTTTTGGACATCGCTCTGATGAGACGGTCCAGTGGATCATTCTGGGGAGCCAGAAACGATCCACAAGGTTGGCTAAGTGGATGAACTTCTCTCAGTAGTGTTGGAGCACAGCATTCCTCCATCATGCTCACTAGTACAAGACATTTTTGAATACCTGGTACACGTCTGGAATGAAGGTCTTGTACACTCCTTCAAGATGCATATTGCAGCCATCTCCGCATTCCATGAGCTGGTGCAGGGGCAGAAATTTTTCCTACAATATGACTGCCCCATTCCTGAAAGGGCTAGAATGGCTATACCTCCAGGAAAAGGACCTGGTCTCACAATGGGATCTTATTCTGGTCCTTTCGAAACTTACTGCATAACCCTTTGAACCACCTATCCTTGAAGTTGACATTTCTTGTGGCGATAACATTGGCAAGAAGCATCTCAGAGCTCAAGGCATTGTCCTCAGACCTACCATACACCTTCTTTTACAAGGACAAGGTACAACTTATGTTGTACAAGATTCTTATGTTCTTATGTAACTGCAGCCCCACTGGCCTTCCTACAGAAGGTGATGTCTTCTTTTCACATGGGCCAAGATATTTTCCTATCCAGGCTCTACCCCAAGCCTCACAAGATGGCAGAAGAGAGATGCCTGTATACTCTGGACATGTGAAAAGCTCTGTCCTTCTACTTAGAGCACACCAAGCCCTTTTGGAAGTTGACAAAACTCTTTGTTGCCACCGGGGCCCACATTAAGGGTCTCCTTGCAGAAGATCTCTAACTGGATTACTGTGTATATATGTACCTGCTACAACTTGGCACAGGTATCCCCACCTTCAGTTGTCCATACCCACTTTACCAGGGTCCAGGCATCCTCAGCAGCTTCCCTGGCACATGTGCCCAACCAGAACATCTGCAGATGGCCTCCTGACACAGGGACTAACCCGGATTTTTTTCAGAGTGTGGATCATGACCCAGCCTTTGCCAAGCAGCATTGCTGACAGGCCTTTTATCAGCCTGGTTGGTGGTCTAGCACCAGGGTCCCTTGGTGCTCAGCAAGTAATCCCACTGTTTTATATTCCACAACCCAGTACTGGGTTGTAACCCGCATTTTGAAAACCACTGCTACAGGCAATCAGTTTGCATGAGCGTATTTTGTGCATGTAGAATCATAGAATACTAGAACTGGAAGGGACCTCAAGAGGTCATCGAGTCCAGTCCCCTGCCCTCATGGCAGGACCAAATACTGTCTAGACCATGCCTGGTAGACATTTATCTAACCTACTCTTAAATATCTTCACAGATGGAGATTCCACAACCTCCCTGGGCAATTTATTCCAGTGTTTGACTACCCTGACAGTTAGGAACTTTTTCCTAATGTCCAATCTAAACCTCCCTTGCTGCAGTTTAAGCCCATTGCTGCTTGTTCTATCCTCAGAGGCCAAGATGAACAAGTTTTCTCCTTCCTCCTTATGACACCCTTTTAGATATCTGAAAACTGCTATCATGTCCCCCCTCAATATTATCTTTTCTAAACTAAACAAACCCAATTCCTTTAACCTTCTCTCATAGGTCATGTTCTTGAGACCTTTAATCATTCTCGTTGCTCTTCTCTGGACAACTATGTAATTTAATTGTGCATCTAACTCTCTGGAAAATCATCTTTTGAACTGCTTGATTTTTATTAAAATTCCTCCTGGCACACTGAAATATGTTATGGATCAAACAATACCATCATCTACATCTCTCAAATGGCATTGTCTTCAAATTATGGTATCTGACATTTCTGCAAACCAAAGGTCTGACTCAAAGCCCATTGAGGTCAGTGGAAACACTCCTGTTTACTTCGGTTCAGGCCCTCAGCAGAGTTCTAACAAAATAAGAATAATAAATGATGTAAAAGTACCTGAAAAGGTTTAGGGAGCCATTATTTTCTAACCCAAAAACCCTTCTATTATAAATACAATGTATTTTTGTATGTAACAGTGTAGATCTTCACACCAATATGTGTATATATATATATATATATATTTGTAATTTTTCATTAGCACATGTCAGCTGAAAAAGTTTTGGAAATGATACAAAATGAGGCTGATAGTGAGACCATCCAAAAACCAACACTACGTATGTACTTCTGCAATTTTTGACAATACTCCTTTTAAATCATTCTGTTTTCATATTTTTACAGAAGAAACTGAGAAAATTAATGTTTAATATGTTAAATGTTATATGTTTAATTTAGATGAACTACTAGATATTGTTCCTGATTCTCAGCCAGTAGGCAGAAATGACAACCCTTTGTGAGTATTATAAAACAACCCTAAATAAATATTTAAACAATTTTTTGAAAGCAATATGTTCAAGTGTTGCCAAAGACACAGTATTTCTCAGATTTTGATACATGATCTCCAGAGAGCTCTTCCAGCCCTATGTTTCTGTGATATTAACATTTATTAATCAGCAGTGTTTTTATTTGTTAAATATTTTTGACCTAAATCTGTTAAATTTAGCAATAATGTCCAAATTACAGCAATTTAGTGTAAATAAAATAGGATTATATTTGTAGATTGCCTGGTCTTTTGGAAAGTTCTGCTGATGAAAATAAAATGTGGAAAAAACCGGCATGCTCAGTACCTGAGACGCTTATAACAAAGTGTGACAAGCAGAAAAGAAGTACATCATCAGGACATACATTCCCACAAGGTTAAGCTTATGCCCTGTTAGTAATAAGTATTTGTGAATGGCAAATAATTTTTTGTATATTCAAATGTTTTAAAATACCTTTTTATCTTAAAAAGATGTTCTTGTTTGCATTAGGTCCAGTTCTCAGTGAAAGAGCTGTCAAACAAAAAGCTTTCTATTCAATATTTGAAAGTACTTCTCCAAAACAACAAGCTCAGAATAGAAAAATATCAAAGAAGAAACAAAATGAAATTGTTAAACCGGAAGAAAACTGCATGGTACAGAGAGGACAAATGTTAAATAGTTCTAAGCATTTAGAACAGAAAATACTAAATACACAGACAGAAGAAGTGTCCACTGCACCTGAAACATCTTTTAAATCAGCTCATCTAACTAAAATGACTGAAAAATCTCTGGGATATTCCACGCAATCAGTGTTGGCCAGAAATTCTAAGGAGGAAGTTGATGTTTCTTTTAGAAAAGGAACTACAAATCAGAAAAAATCTGAGAAGGTGATAGATTCTCATCTTGGTTCCTCTGACATAAAGGGAATAGTTTTATATTTTAAAAATTTCCCTATAAACTTTGTAGAATGCTTTTAATTCTACTTATTTCTGAATTTGTTCATTATTTGGTTTATACTTATGCAGAAGAATGAGGGGTATACCATAGTTTCAAATGTAACTCTTTTATGGTTTGTGGTAAAATTTAAAAATATTTATCTTGATTTCACAGGGTTACTTTTGTTTAAAAATATGAACCAGTCTTTTATTCTGGGCATGATTTTGAATACTGTATTACAATTTAAAACAAGATTCCTGATGAAACACCTCAAAGCAAGCCCAAGTCTTTAAATCTCGGGTCAGACACAGAATTTTAAGCTTTGACTGTTAAATGCAGCTGGTTTGCTAATAAAAATGTCTGCATTGTTGCCACTTGCATCAAAATCTGTAGTCATTTTGTGGGGAAATTTCTGTGAAGGCTTCCTTACATTGCTCAAGTAAAAAGGTCTGATTTTCTTCATATGGAAAAACTGCCCTCAAGCCTGGTCAATCCAGAGGGATTCATAGATAGAATGCCAACTGCATGGAGTCTTGGTAGCACCATACTGCAGTTTTGCCCTTTTATTGAATGTTTTACTACCAAAGTTAGCAAGTTATTTACAAAGTTTGTTGTTACAGAAAGCAAAATCTCAAAAAGTAGCAGAAACAACAGAATCAATGATAAATAAAATCAGTGACAGATACAAACAAAAGGATGATCATGAACATGCAAGCAAAGCAGGACAATTTTTAGCTAACAGGTATGGTGCACATTTTTTTTCTTATAATAGTTTGAAAGCCTGATAGTTACTTTCTTGTGCATTTGCAAAGAAAGAATCAATAGAGTTTGGTCCAGATCATAAATCTGTGAGAAGGTGGAGGGCAACAGAGCTATTCTCAGTTTGTAAATAAGGATTTTGAAGCAAACCTTTCAGCCCAGGTTGACAGACTTGGGCTTGCTCTAGTGCTCTCAAAATGACTATAGACAACCTAACTGCAGCTTTAAAATGTTGCCCATTCTGCTATTTTTAGAGCACTAGCAGAGGAACTGTAAGTCTGAGTTTCTTTAAAGCCTACAATAATTTATTTATTTCTAAATGTATTCATACAAATGTCCAATATTTACAGATGCTTAATACTTGCATCTTAAATTGGCTTAATGGGAGAAATTATTGTTCAGCACCTATGAGAATCAGGCCATGAATCACAATTTAAATAATTTTTATATTGATCTAATTGTGAAAAAATGTAGAATTGGTTATGAAAAGTATTTCAAGAAATGAAAACAGTAAAACAACATATCTTGAAGTTATGCTTGTATCCTAACTCATGATATTTGGCAGTTACTTAGTTATTTGGATTGTAACTTAGTTCACTTTAAGGACTATTTTTTTGCAGGCAGTTCCTGCTCAACTCTTTCTGGAATTGGTTCTCTTCTGCTATGCAGAATTCTCATGTCTATTCATGCTCGCCACATCCATTGATGCCAGGAGATTTTCCCTCGGGAGTATCTGCAGGGACTGGCTCCAAAGCCCCCTGGAGTTGTGCACACGTGTCATACTATATAGTGCACCGCCAGGAACCAACCTCCCCTCAGTTTCATCTTGAGGTGCTTGGAACTGTTGCTCCAGCCTTTAACTGCAGCTTCTTTTCTGTTAATTCCCTCTTATTGTAAATATTTTTTGTTCTTTAGCAGTTGTTAGAACTTTGCAGATAGTCCCTTTGCAGGGACACAGCCTGGGGATGCGGCATGCCCTGATCGCTCACATTTAAACCATGTGCTAGCTGTTGCAGGCCTATGAAAGTTAGGAAACCAACACTGTAACTGCCTTCATTGTCTGGGTGAGTCCCACATCAGTAACATATGCTACATCTGAAAGTCCTTTCGAACTAGGACCATAAAGGACAGAAAATCTTCATTTCTTATGGAGTCCACCTTAGCTCCCCAGAACCAGTGCTCAGATTCAGTGCTGAGCACTAGCACCTTGCTGTGGAGCACTCCTCCGGTGCCATCGACTAATCAGCATGGGGCAAAGAGGACCTAGAAGGCAAGCAAGGTCAAGTCCTTCATGCAAGGAGAAGTCCGTACAACCAACAGACAAGGACTGAGTGCCAGACAAAGTACCACCTTAAGTAGAATGGGGAAGTGCTCCTTGTTCCTTATCACCTTCTCCAGGCATCTAGGTTCTTCTTCAAGTGATATCCCCATGGGTGCTCCACAGTTGGTGTCGGGCTCATCCTGGCACCACAGATCAGAGACTTTGAGAGCAGTGATCGAGCGGGCTGTGCATGCATGAACGGAGAGAGGCGCTCCCGCCTTTGAAGTAGCGTGTTGCTAAACTTCAAAATTTGAAACACATGAAGCTGGACACTACTGGAGTTTTTCATCAAGTGTTGGCCAAAGCAGTAGAAGCATCTTATGAACTGTCATTGCTCATCACTAAAGCCAAGAAAGCGCACATAATCGGAGAAACTCTTGTGAAGCCTTGCTTGTTGAAAGCAGCTGATATTGTGGTTGGTGTTAAAAGCAAGAAAAAACTATTGGAAATTTCTCTTTCTGACAATTCCGTGAAATGTCGCATTGATGAGCTGGCGAAAGATCTTAAACTTCAAGTTGTGGAGGCAGTGTGGGCTTCTCCTTTTTTTGCAATTCAGTGCAACGATGCCAGTGATGTAACACAATGCTGTCAGTTGCTTGTCTACGTTCCATTAATTAACAATGGAACTGTGAAAGAAGAACTGCTTTTTTCAAAGGAATTGATGACTACATCAAAGGCTTCTGATGATATGAAAATGATTTCTGACTTTTTTGAAGAAAATAGACTTTCATGGGGAAAACTGTTTGGTGTATGCACAGATGGTACTCCAGCAGTGCTTGGCTTTTGCTCTGGATTTGTGACATTGGTGAAAGAAAAAAATCCAGCCGTAACCACAACTCACTGTGTCATATACAGACAAGCATTGGCTGCTAAAACCTTTCCAGATGACTTACGTGACTCATTGAGTTTGGCCATCAAAGTTGTCAATTTTGAGAAGAACAGTGCTTTAAATACGAAACTTTTTGATGCTCTTTGCATGGATTTGGGAATGGATCATAAAACTCTTTTGTTTCACATGGAGATACGATGGCTTTCCAAAGGTAACATGCTTTTGAGATTATTTGAACTAAAAGATGAAGTGGAAATTTTCCTCAACATTATGGAGGACACCCTCAGCCACAATTTCCTCACAGAACACAAGTGGGAACTAAATGACCAGATCACCCACAAGCTGTTCCACTGATGGGGGCTACCACAGATAGATCTCTTCACCACCAAACATAGCATAGCAGGAGACAAACAACACACAAGACTTACTTATACAAGTGGCAGTTTACAGAGTGGTGCGCGCATAGGGCAATCGAACCATCCAGGGCACCAGTCCACCAAGTACTGGAATACATCATGCACCTGAAACAACAAAATGTGTCAGTTTCCTCATTCCGGGTGTACATGGTGGTCATTACACCCTCCCGTTCATGGGTTTTCTGTATTTGTACACACCATCTCTAAAACATTCTTGAAGGGTCTACAGAACCTTCACCCACCTCGAAAACCCATTCCCCCCATGTGGGACTTAGAACTGGTCCAACACTCATTCACAAGACCACCTTTCCAACCAATAGCAACCTCACCACTTAGCTTTCTTACCATGAAAACGTTGTTCCTTCTGGCAACCACTTCTGCAGGGAGGGTCAGTGAACTTGCAGCTGTCCCAGCCTCACCTCCATACACAACCTTTCACAAGGTCATTCTGCAACCACTCCCATCCTTCTTACCCAAAGTGACCTCCATATCAATGAACTGATAACCCTTCCCACTTTTTATCCAAAACCACATCATTCCAAGGAAGAAGCCATATTACACACGCTGGATGTTAAAAGGCAAATTGCTTTCTATATGGATATGATTAAATCTTGTCGATCATCCCAGAGATTGCTGGTATCCCTGTCCGAAAGGTCCAAGGGAAAACCACTGTCTTCTCAGCGCATATCAAAGCTGATAACATCATGCATTACTATATGCTACTCGCTCCAGAATAGGGCATTACCAATGAATCCAAAGACCCACTCTACCAGAGTTATGGCAACATCAGCTGCTTTCCTAAAGGGAGTCTCACTCCAGGAAATACACAGAGCAGCGACATGGTTATTTAATCACACGTTCATAAAGCATTACACTATTCTGCCATGCTCCACAACAGATACCGCAATAGCCACTGTGGTTTTCTTCACAATTTGTAGCAATGGATCGAAGCCCACTGTCCATCTGAATGGTCGCTGTTACACAGTCACCAAATGTGGAGCACCTGCCCGGACATCACTCGAAGAAGAAAGATAAGTTTACTCACTTTGTGCAGTAACAATTGTTCTTCAACACGTGTGTCCCTGTGGGTGCTCCACTACCTACCCTCCTCCCCACTTCTTTGGGCAATAATAGCAGCCCACAAAGAAAAAACAGAGCTACTTCAAAGGCAGGAGCGCTGCTTGTGCATGCACAACCCGCGCGATCACTGCTCTCAAAGCCTCCGATCTGTGGTGTCAGGATGAGCCTGACCCCAACTTTGGAGCTCCCACGGGGACATGCATCTTAAAGAACAATCATTACTGCATGAAGTCTTTCCTTCCACCCCAGAGGCATTGCAGGTGGTACTGGACATCATTTGCCTGCTGGTCCTGCCAATGCTGCTGGCACCAGAGCCTTGATAGATGGAAGCCAAGTTGGTGGCTCAATCACCAATCTCACAGTGCTCTCACTCTCCCATAAGGTTGGTTGGAAGAACCCCTCACAATCCTGCATAATCACTGCAGGGAGACACAGACTGCATATTGTAGCTCAAATGTCTCCAGATACCTTTGGAGGCATGCCGCCCTGGCAGCTGAGGCATGTTGGAGCCGGCTGCTCGTTATGCATGAGTTACTGTTCTAGAGATAGATCCCCATATGGATGGCACTGTTCTCCACAGCACCACTATCTGCCAGCACTGTGCTATCTAGGACATGAGTCCCGATCTTTCTCTTGGAGCAGGGCATTGTCCCTCAGCTGCTGGTCTCAGAGTAGGTCTAAAGACTGCCACAGGACCCCAGTCCACCGCTATGGATGCTTTTTGCAGTCTCCAAGATCGGCCTCATCCAGTAGCTACTGCCGGCGGAGAGAGCATAGCACCTGCTCTCCATCCTGGGCACTGGCCAGTGAGAGATCGACCAGTGTCCCTTCAGAGCCTTCCTCCTTCCTGTGCAATCATTGGCTCTGCATCCTGTGCCGCTCATTTCATCACCACAGATGACTGCATAGCCTACATTGTGACTTCTGGTACCATGCCGTTGGCAATGATGCTCCTGGACTCCATGGGGTTTTCCCATGTGGTTTCAGGTTATACACTTGGTGGCTGGAGCACTGGAGACTCAGCTGGGCCCCTCTGCTAGCCACCCTCCAGTACCTGATTCAGTTAAGCTGGGCATCCCTAAGGTGGAGGAAGAGAGGGTCAGCCCCCACTGTTTGAGGAGGAACACTCTGCCCAGGCCTCTTCATCATCATTGCCAGAGGCCATAGTGGCACTTTTTCCAGTGGTCCCACAGGATGACAATAGAGCTCACAACGTCTTTTTAAAAGGGTGGCCATGAACTTGCACTTCCAAGCAGAAGAGGTGGAGGCATCCAGGGATACCCTATATGGGGTACTGGGCCAAATGGCTGTGGTCACCTTACTCCTGCCTGAGGGGATCGCCAAGATTGCCAAGTCATTGTGACAGACACATTCCTCGATCCCCTCAATCTCAAAAAGCGGAATGCAAATACTCATGGCTTTTGGCTGGGAGGATGTATCTGTATAGACATCATGCCCTGAATTTACTCATAAATCAGAGAGAGAGACTGGGTCAACCCATTCTTATCCAGAGGAATTAAGACTCGAGACACCTCAATCTTTTTGGACATAGACTTTATTCCTTCATAAGATTCTAACTGCATGTGGCCAACCACCAGGCTCTGATTTCTTGGTATGACTTAAACATGTGGCAGGCAATGTCCAAGGTTTAGTTCTTATTGCCAGATAACACCAGAAAGGAGCTCTGGGCTCTTACCAATGAGGGTCTCAATGGCTAGGACAGTGCTGCAAGCAGCTTCTCATATGGTGTACTCTGCAGCATGCTCTATGGCATCAGCAATGTCCATGTGCAGGCCAGATGGCTACTCCTGTAGGCTTGTCCATGAAGTCCCAGCATCTCATCCAGGACCTCCCATTCTATGGGGTGACCCTGTATGCAAAACACACAGACACAAAACTGCATGGGCTTAAGGACTCCTGGACCACTCTAAAAGCCCTGGGGTTGTATGTCCCCAAGGCTGGGAGAGAGAAATTTTAAGCTCCTCTCTTCCCAACCAAGGGGATCCTAAACCAGACAGGACCGGTCTGCTGCTGCTAGCTCTCCTCTGAGTTCCTTGTAACTGCCAGCAATGATGCTTGGAGTCCAGGGGACATGCACCTGACCCCCAGCTGGACCTGCTGCAGAAGACATGGACAGGCGTTTTTCACCTGGCCCACAAGCTGCTGCATTGAGAGAGGGCTGAAATTGTCCTCTCTCCCCAGGGCAACCTGCATATTGAACCTCCTCATTCCCAACCCAGAACAATGATTTAATGAAGAAAGACATAACTTATTTGAGTTAAGGACCCAAGCAAAACCAGGTAAATCTTCTAGTTGGTTTATAATTGTGCAATTGATTGTAGACTTAGTTCTAAGTTACTACAATATTACAACATACTTTACTATATAAAATCATATGTTAACTTTAGAATCTGTTGAACTCTATGATACAAGCAGATATTTTCTTATCTCGGTAAGGCTTTCAACTATGTTACTGATATATTGAACACATTTTTGTTATACTTTTGTTTGATATTTGATAAATCCTTTTTTAGGTCATGTTTAAATAAGTCTGGCTCCAAGGTCTCTAAGGTATGCTTACTATTTCTTGCATGGAAATTTCACCTTAAGAGTGATATAATCTACTAGAATTTACAATACATTTTGTTCATTACAGCACTTTTCATACTTGAAATATCCTAATGTACTTTAGAAAACAATATTAAGTACAATTATATAAAAACATGGCACTTGGTAGATGCTCTGCAGTAGATCACAAGCATTCCTGTTTATGAAATCGCTCTTATTTAAAAATGACTGATAACCAAATCGCAAGGTTTTTTCCTAGCCATTTTTGAGAATGATCATGTACTGTTTAATTTGCAATTCCGTCTGGATATACAAGAGTGACTGGCACATCCAAAATTGGTATATTGCAGCATGTGCCCACCTTATTTCTTCACAGCAGTGCTATGTGTGGGTGTGATTTTATAGCTATTCAGTAATGCTGTTACCACCTCTAAGATAATGACTGATTTTATGTAACACTCAAAGGAAACACAAGAAGGCAAGGCCTGGTTTAAAACTCAGGAGTATTTGAGCCACTGCCCCATGGTCATCCATTCAGACTAAAATGGCTGTTGCCAAAATACACCTTGTGTTTGTATAACCCACGGCACACGAGACAAATCCCCAACAGAGATAAGCTGGTGTAAATTTGCTGGTCCTACACCAGTTTAAACTAATTAGAATCGTCCCCAGTGTGTTCTGTCAATTCAGTACATGGCAATAAAATTACAATGGAGGCCGTGTTTCAGTAACACTACATATACACTACATATAACACTACATCTGACACCTCCAGATCAGCTGCTAGAAGTGGGCCTCATCCTCCTTGATTGGATCCACCTGGTCATCTCCAGCCTGATCCTGGCCTGCATATTTATTCCTGCCTCTGGAAATTTCCACTACATGCATCTGACGAAGTGGGTCTTTGCCCACGAAAGCTTATGCTCCTACACTTCAGTTAGTCTATAAGGTGCCACAGGACTCCTCATCACTCATTAGTTAGAATTCTCAAAACTCATGACAAATTTTACAAACTAATTTCTAAGTTCATGAACATTCAGAATATAGCAAACTGAGGTGTGAATCTACCCTGTGATAGTCTGTTGCAAACTGTCTCTGGAGTTATGACTAAAAGTTTCTTAGTGTACTTTGGTCTGCCTTAGTTTTGATCACCCCCTTTTCAAAACAACTAAAGAATGATTAGAGTGCATCAGTAGGGTCTTAATGATCAATTAGTATGCAGCAGGCTAGTGTGGAGTAGAATCACACCTTTCTCACGGTGAACTAAATGGTCATGTAGACAAGTCAAAGCATGGCATGCATATGCATATGCATATATATATACAGGGCTCAACAAACACACTCGCCCGCTCGCCCGTGGCGAGTAGATTTTACCAGCTGGCAAGTGCAGGGGCAGGCCAAAGCCCACACTATGGATGGTGTGGCCCCATCCGATCCGCCGGCCGGGGACATGGAAGTGCGGCGATTCTTGCCACTAGGCTGCCTGTGTGCAGCTCTGGCATGAGGAGACGGGGCGTGAGCCAGAGGGCGGGACGCCAGCAGACGCCAGGACGCTGGCGTGATGTGGCTCTGCTGATTTTAAGGGGCCACGGTAGCTTGGCTCTGTCCGCGTGTCCCTGGGAGCTGGCTGCGGCGCAGTCAGGCGCCGCCCCATCCCGCCAGCTCCAGTCCTGCCACAGCCACAGCCCCCTCACTGGTGAGAGACTGCTCCCTGTCGACCGCACGGCTTGCTGTGCCCACCCCGCAGCCTTTTGTCTCTGCGCCGCCTGTTCCCCACACTGCCCCTGTGTCCCGCACCCTGCACCCCGGATCCCCTGCTCTCCCTCTTCCCTGCGACTCTCTGGCTTTGTGCTGCCCTTGCACCCTGCTCCCCCCCAATTCCTGCCCCCCCCCAGCTCTGTGCTGCCTGTTCCCCGAACTTCCTGTCCCGCACCCTGCACCCCGGATCCCCTGCTCTCCCTCTTCCCTGCGACTCTCTGGCTTTGTGCTGCCCTTGCACCCTGCTCCCCCCCAATTCCTGCCCCCCCCCAGCTCTGTGCTGCCTGTTCCCCGAACTTCCTCTAGACTCCGATCCCTCTGCCCCTCCCATTCCCTGAATCCCATTCCCCGTGCCTCCACCACACCCTGCTCCCCCCGATCCCTTCGTCCCTCTGGTTCTGTGCATCCTATTCCCCGCGCCACCCTTGTACCCTCCCACTGTTCCCTGCACCCCTCTGGCTCTGTGCTGTCCCTGCATCCTGCTCCCCCTGTGGGTCAGGAGTGAGGGGTGCTTGTCCATAGGGCGGAGCTTGACAGGGCAGGGAAAAGGCTATTGTGACCCAGCAGGGAGTGAAAGGGGGAATTCACTTGAAGCGCCTTTGCCTTTATGGGAAAAAAAGGGCAGACACCTGCAGGTGAGGGACCAGCACCAGAGGAGAGAGGCAGGGCAGTTGTGTAGAAGGAGGTGTTAGGAGAGGGGATGAAGAGAGGTAGCTCACATGATCAGAGTGGGGCTACTGGAGGAGTGGGCATGGGGGAGAGAAGGGCTGGTGGAGGGGGGCAGGTCTCAGGAAGGCTGAGGGCAGTGAGAAGGGCAGGAGTCAGGACAGCAGAGGAGGTGAGGGGTTGGGGGGCAGCAGGCACCAGGGGAGCTGATGGAACAAGGGGAGAAGACATGGCAGCAGAGGGAAAAGGTAGAGGTTTATAAGTTATTTATTAATAACTTGGATGATATTTGTTAATAACTTATTAGTAATTACTGTTCTTATTCTTAGTAGGAATTTATGCCATTAAAAAAGCACTTTTTGGTGGGGGAGGGTGGCTAGTCCCTTTTTTGTCTGGTGAGTAGAGTTTTCCATAATTTGTCAAGCCCTGTGTATATATATAAAATGGGATCATTTAATTATTGATTGAGGTTCATTCTTCCATGCTATGCATAGCAACACTATTCAGCAGTTTAAAATATACTAGGGCTGCCAATTTACATGTGTTAATGCCTACAATTAATGCAGGGCAGGATTAATGTGTTAATTTTTTAACATGTTAATCACAGATGTTAATGCTACACTGCCCCTTTGAAGTGCCAAGTGAAGCACAACATGGAGTCTACAGCTGGCCTCGGGCTCCACTGCCCCTTTGAAATGCTCGGAGGCAGTGTTTCAAAGGGGCAAGCATTTCACAGCTGGAGTCCCCAGCTGACCCTGGGAAAGTGCCATGTGGAAACGGAGTTAACTGGGGACTCCCCAGCTGATCCTGGGTTCTGGAGAAATGTCGCGGGGAGCGCGGGATCAGCTGTGGAGTGGCTGCCCCTTTAAAATGCAATCTCTGGTGTTTCAAAGGGGCAGCTGGGGACTGCCCAGCTGATCCTGGGCTCTGTGCGGCAGTAAAACCTGGGGTCAGTTGGGGAGTGCTCAGCTGACCGTGGGCTCCACTGCCCCTTTGAAATCCGCGGAGGCTGCATTTTAAAAGGGCAGCTGCCATGGAGCCCGGGGTCAGCTGGGGAGTCTTCAGCTGACCCCGGGTTCTGCTGAAATGCAGCATGGAATGCCTTGTGCTGCCCCTTAGAAACACCACCCCTGCGCTTCAAAGGGGCAGCACTACATGGAGCCAGGGGTCAGCTGGAGACTGCAGCTGATCCTGGGCTCCATACAGCGCTGCCCCATTGAAACGCTGTGGTGGCGTTGCAAAGGAGAGGCACAGGTGATTAGTCGTGATTAAGTTTTTTAATTGCTTGGCAGCCCTAAAAGATACATTATCTAGATCAAAGTATTATTAAATGTATGTGAGAATAGGTAGGAAAACACATTACTCAAATGAAATTTGGCCATGACACAGGAAGCAACAGTGTAATTCTTCTTCGAGGAGTGTTCTTGTGGGCGATCCACTGTAGGTGTCTTGACACTCCTGCACTTGAAACTTCAACTTTTTAGCAGCAGTATTCTCTCCAGGTGCTGGCGCACAGATGCGGCACTGCCTGCACTGCTGCGCATGTGCTGATGCACACACACTTCCACCGTGTCTCAGATCTTCTCAACCACTCCCATTTTAGTCAGAATACAGTAGTGCTCTCTATTAGATCCTAGATAGTGTACTTCTGCTAGTAATTACTGTTCGATAGTTTAGCTCCTATTCCTGTTCATGGATTCCCTTCCCCAAATTAATTGTTAGTTTAAAATTTTTTTTAAAAAAATCTCTTGTTCATAGTTGTTAGAATAGAGTAGGCGTTCATGCCCTTTTCTTGGCACGCAGTCCGGCCTCCTGCCAGTTCCTCTAGACCGCCTCAGGCTGCAGACACTTGGAACTGTGCTCTTCACCTCAGTTGTGGGACTAGACTTGCTCTAGTTACCCTCTGTATATATTCCAACCTTCTGTTCCTTCCACACTCCGCCCCGTTAGTTTTCTTAACAAAAAAAAAGAGAGAGACTTAACACAGTTGTTACCCTCCTACGTCCCCCTCAGCTGTTTTCCCCGATTCTGCTCCTTGTACATAGTTGCAGCTTTTAAAAACAAAACAAAGAAGAAAAGAGGAAAACCAGAGAAATAGACTTTTTTTCTGTTGATATAAAGAACTGATTTAGACCTCACTTACACACGGAATAAACTTACCATGTCAGCGGCTACCGTCTTTAAGAAATGCGGCTCTTGCTGGGAGGCAATGCCAGCCTCTGATGGGTACTCTGAGTGCATCAGATGTCTGGGTGAATCTCATGTTTCCCAGAAATGTGCTCATTGCACTAAACTTACCTCCAGTGCTAGGAAAGATAGAGAAGCGCCTCCAAATGCTCCTCTTCGATAAAGCCCTGCAGCCACAACGTACTGCGACTGAGGAACAGCCCTCCAAACAATGGGCTTCATCCACCACTACTGGCATGCATAAGAAACCCAGGCTTTCCCCTACCAGATCTCTGCCGACTGCCTGACACGGCAGGGAGAGCCAGGGGGACAGACTGGGAACGTCTGGCATCACAAAGCCACATCCCACAATCTCAGTGGCACACAAGCCAAAACGGCCACGGGAGCCTGCA